GTCGTTTTCAAAGGGAACAAAGAGTATTTGCAGCTGCACCCTAAAACCGGGGATTTGCTCCTGAGAGAGAAACTGGATCGGGAGGAGCTGTGCGGCCCCGCCGAACCCTGTGTGCTGCCTTTTAAGATCTTACTGGAAAAGCCCTTTCAGATTGTTCTGGCTGAATTAAGGGTACAAGATATTAATGATCATTCACCAGTGTTCTCAGAAACTGAAATGCTTCTAAAAATCCCGGAGAGCACCACCCCTGGTACTGTGTTTCTACTAGAAAATGCTAGAGATTTAGACGTAGGAAACAACAGTCTCCAGAACTATGCAATCAGTCCCAACTCCCTTTTCCATATTCAAATTCGAGAGAGCAGTGAGGGCAGGAGATACCCCGAGCTTGTACTGGATGAGCCATTGGATCGGGAGAAGCAATCTGAGGTCACTTTAACTCTCACTGCAGTGGATGGGGGAGTCCCACCAAGGTCTGGAACTGCCCAAATCCGAGTCCTCGTAGTGGATATCAATGACAATGCGCCCGTGTTCACTCAGTTCCAATATGAGGTTCAAATCCCTGAGGACAGTTCCGTTGGATCCAAGGTTGTCACAGTCTCTGCCACAGACTTAGACGTAGGGAATTATGGAGATATATCTTATATATTTTTGTATCCCTCTGAAAACATTCGTAAAACGTTTCACCTTAAAGAGAAATTGGGAGAACTTTATTTAAAGGAAAAAGTGGATTTTGAATCAACTCAATCTTACACTATAAATATTCAAGCCACAGATGGTGGAGGTCTTTCTGCAGAATGTACCGTTGTTGTTCAGGTGATAGATCTGAATGACAATCCTCCAGAACTGACTATATCTTCACTTACCAGTCCCATCCCAGAGAACTCTCCTGAGACAGTGGTCGCTGTTTTTGGTGTTTCAGATCTTGACTCTGGAGAAAATGGAAGGGTGGTTTGCTCCATCCAAGATGACCTTCCTTTTGCCCTGAAATCTTCCGTTGAGAACTTCTACACATTGGTAACAGAGGGAGCACTGGACAGAGAG